ACTCGGAAGAGGTTGTCAAGCTTGACATTGTTCGTTGTCGTGTGATAACATTTGAGGCTTTTCAGGCCATGTTGTCTTTCTTGCTTTGAAATTTAAACCAACGTTTGCAGAGTGTTTCAAGATGCTGAACATTTTGTACCATTTTATGTGACCCTTTGTACATTTTTGCCTATTTTTCATACTTCCAGTTAAATTCTCTTTTCAGAAAGAAAGACGACAGCTTTTCCACATGTAAGAAGACTTAAAAAGGCATGTTATGATCGCTTGTTGTGGAATCACCAAAGAAGTGATCCACATTCATGGGTCTCATCTTGTAATTTTTGTTGGTCATTGATTCAAAGTTTTGGTAGTGGGGCTAAATTAATATTGTCCGGTTTTGCGCCTTTAACATTTTGCCCCAAACCCGCAGATGGCAGCGGGTCGGCGAGACTAACCATATCGTTGTTCCCAACTAGGCCATGTACAAGTTAGATGTCTAATATTTGTCACCACTTTCGAAGGGGTATTCGCCAGGAAACACAATTTCGACCACTCCACTGACGACATGTAAAATTTATGTAGTTAAAGTAAACATTCAATCCAGTGGATATTTTGCGGAAAATATGCATCTGAAAGCGCATTTGGGGCCACTTGTATGTAATTTTCAATACCTTAAGAGTTTACTGTGTATTAACCCGAATCCAACTTACTGTAGCGCAAACAAACGTGAACATTTTGCCGTATAATTTACACTCGATCATAATACCGAAAATAGGTGAGCGCGACGCCATTAATTAGTAGGATGATGGAACTCCAATTCACATCCCAGAATCCCGTATATGCGAACTTTTAGCCACTGGGCCCTAGTTGATTCAACTCCATGTTTTGTAGCATCTCGAACCTGTTCGCATATCATATCTCCAAAGCAATTCACTGCAGTATTAATAAACAGACTAACATAATCAACTTCAGAGTTCTTAGGTTGTTTGTCCGCAAAAACGGTGTTTTTGGTTTTGCTGCCTAACGCTGAAATATGAGGAGCGTTGTACCACGTTCTAATTCTCGGGAAAACAAAACACCTATTTATTTGATAAGTGAAGCTTATTGCCCTTAAGTTACTAGATATTTGCCAAATGGTTCTCTTGATTCTTCCAGTTTGTTCGTCATTAATTTCCCGGCAGCGCAAAAGGCAGTGAAAAACACATTTACTCCATAATAGTCGCTAAGTTTTCAATAGGCAGGCCAATTGAATAAGTGGATAACGTAGAATAACGTTCGACTGCACGTAATGCAGTCGGTGGTAGGGGTGTATTTCCCTGAAAATCCAATCATCATCCAAAATGTCTAGAACACTTGATAAATGTAATTTATCCGAGTCAGAAAGTATTCTTCTGGCATACAACGTCTATCAGGAAGTGGAACAAAGTTAACCCAAAAAGGAAAACGAAAATGCACTGATGAAACCCACCAATAAATACTTTTTACTTTCTATGGATATGCAGGACGCATGTTCAATTATCATAAGCTTTTACCTTGAGTCCTCCAGTAGATCATTGTATTTTTTTCTCATGGTTGCATCTAACTGGCACAGTTAGATGCTGCTGATGTAATTGATAAGGACCAAATGGCCCTCGAACTCGCTGGATGCTTACAGCAATTTGAATACGCCCACCAAAATACATGAGGAATTTAGTAGTCGTCCCTTCGTTTTTAAAGATCTCTTCTCTGGGTTCGGTATTTTATATCCCGAACAATACAGTTTAGTAAATCTTGATTTTTATCCAACCAATTTGTTTGTTATTTGTCACTAATTTGATGCAATTCCGCTCTGATAAACTTTTGGCAGAGATCGCGGTATCCAGCAACTTTAGAATATTCTTCGAGCAGCTGTTATGACCACCAGTTAAATTAAAGCATAAAACTTGCCATCCGGAATAAACCTGTATCTGCGCACTGTCGATGAATGGATTTTGTTACCATGAAATGTTTTTATTTTTGGCCTCAGTAGCTTTTAACACACTTTCAGCTTGCTGTACGATGCGCATACAAGTTAACACAGTTAATTTCAACGGACCGTATTTAATAAGCGGCAATCTCAGCTTTGATGAACTTAATTACATCTCAGCAGGGTAGGACTTAGTGGTGAATATAAAAGACGTAATTGAAAAATGATGGAATTATGGTACTATAGGTAAGATTGTGGGCCCTAATCACAGGCGTACGTGTTTTTAAATTGTTGAGAAATGAGATATAACTAAGGTGACTTCAGAAATTCCCAGCATCGAATGAAAACTGGAACACCATGACTGCCTCATGCTACTGACAATAACTTATATGCGCATCACGAAGGATTCCACGATGTTTGGATACATTCCGGCGTCATTTCACGCCTTCGACAGAACGAGCATTGAGTCAATCCGGTAATGGGACTTGGTTTTGTGATCAGTAGTGTAAAGACCGGAGACCTGAAATTTGCTGAGCCTTCTGCTATTTGCGAACCAAAACCAGATTTAGGTTACACAGTTATTATGTCGTTTACTGTAGATGCCTTTATTCTATTGGTCTGTTTCCCCTTGCAAAATTTATTTTTAGTCGCAGTCTTTAATACCTGTCTGGTTACAAAATTAGACCGCGGGTGTGTTCTGTCTTCAAGTTTATTCAAGGAGAGTCCATTTTCCTTTGTCAGAAGAACATCAGCGTGTTTTTCTCCCGAAACGTACTGTTCGTCTTTCCCAGGAAATTTCATCACAAAAATAGATCTGTCATCGAAATCGGTGGTGGTTCTTTTCAAACTTCCAATTCAACGGATCCAGATGTGTCCTTGTAATGGGCTGGTCCAGGGTAACAGCTGCTACTTACAGTGTTGGAACGAGCGTTGTAAAACTTAAGCCCGTGAATTCAGTGTAATTTGTTCCAGATGGAACCTACCACACTTTGGTTGGGAGAACATATGTAGAGTACAAGGTGTGCCAGGTGATTAATTGAGGAAAAAATAAACCCAGACTTTTTACAACTTAGAAGCTTTACGCAACTGCATGGGAGGAGAACCGTTGTAAAATTTGTCAGACACTGAACACATTGGGGAGTGAAGCGAATTAAAGCGAAAATATTGACTAGTGCAATAGTGCAACGTCTGAATTCATGGTTCATAAATCCTAGGCATTCTAACTATCCCCGATTAACCGTTAGGTTTACACACATGTGTCCCCTATCAAGTTCACGCGTTTTCTAGCTGATAAAAACTCACAGGACTAAACTCCTTTACTGAGACGTGGCAGCTGTGTGTTGCGTGTTTTTGTCTGGTAAAAAATATGAACACTGAAATATAAGAACCGCGTTTTATCAAAAAACACAAAAGCCCGGAAGTTGCCTTAGTTGATCTTTACAGTCCGGGCTACCGTGAGATTTTGCGTCAGGCACTAAAGTCACTGTTTCCGTTTCTGGATAACTATGTATATAAGTTAGTCATTAACGTCAATTCAAGCGGTCCTTTTAGCGTTTTAATGGAATGATCTCAGCTTTTCTAGGTATACTGGTAGGTGCTGTCTTCCACTTTTCTAGACGGAAGTTGGGGGCCCAATTAAATTCGTATCATCTCACAGGCTAACTACTATGTTCCTGTGATCTCATGCTCACATGCATTAGCAATTTTCTGCTGAAAATCGCGTGACCAAGAATTTACCTGGTTATCAACTAATTCCAGCTTCACGTCCATCAGTTGCATGAAAGATTGATGTTCCATAATGACTCGAAATGAACTGGCACTTATGGTTCCTTTGCTGGTTTGAACTGGTGTAACTTGAATGTGTGACCGGTCGCTACAACCTTCAACGGTTTCATCTAAAATAACACGCAGCCACACCAATTTCCGTGAGCACCCGGTTGATACAAAATAATTTGCAATTGACCTAGTTTCATGAACGATACGAGTTTGGTGTACTCAATCCCAGTTCGTCCCCTTTAGCAACATTTTAAACACGTGCACGCGGGATAGAATATGCAGCCTTCACGTCGGGAATGCACCAACAGGAGGGCATGTAATAAGAAAAAATCTACCGGAGTATGTAATGGATGTGGTGGGTTCTGCTCCAGACCCGTGATATGAATACAGCCTTCATAGCGTGTAAAGGCCGCGGGACTTTTGGATAGGGCCCAAAATTACGCGCCACGATTGACGATTAAGTGCAATTTTTCGCTCACAGTGCTCACTCCCCTGGAATTCCCACGTCCCGTATGGCGGAAAATTTAGTCCAACTTTTCACTGATAATAGTCACGATGCGAACAAGCCCTAAGGCACACCATACTGTTTGGTAAACAAGCTAATTAAGATTTCGCAAATGGTCTGAGCCGATATGTGCACTGGCAGATCACTCATATTTTTCAGGTCAATCGGACATTCCGCCAACTCTCAATTCTTCCGTTAGTTAACATAGAGCTGCTTATCTAGGAGACGTATGAAATACCACCAGAAAATGACAGAGTTTTCCAACTTTAAACAAGAGTGAAGATTATTAGTGACTTATTTTCGAGTTCTAACGTTCACCGAAACGTATAGTGTCAACGTATCGGAACTTCCCGGTTTTCTGTTTATCTTAGAATCGATTCGACAACTGACACATGATAGTCTGCCTCGCAAACTTTCGTTCAGTTGGTGACGCAGCAATAAGATATCAGCTGGATTGAAGTCTGTGCGTGCGTCAGAGATTCGGATCATTTGCCCTCAATTCCCTTTGGCACTGTATGATAGTTTCGAAGGTGACATAAGGTGGAATAGAAATGTTCACATCGGATCGAGCCGACGTACGCACGTCGCCGACATTTTTCTGTCGCGAATCAATCGATGAGTCTCATCTAATTCTGCCTGCTGCGTGTCGCCACTCTCGAGTTAACGATGAACCGGTGTAGTGAAACAGCGTTCAACACTCGTTTAGAAGTCTGCGCAATAGTCCTTAAAGAAGTTAAGCACAAAATTGTTTTACACCTTGTATCAAAATTTAATAAACTACCAAAGCACACTTACCAGTTTGTTTATGAAAATATACTTTTATCTGTAGTTCTCGTTTGTTGTGTAGGGCGTCCATGATCAGTTGTTTGGCCTCCTCGGTCGTCCGCTCTCCCCAAAGAAAACTGCACGAACAGCAGCGGGACATTATCTGTGAACGGCTGAATCCCGTCAAATCAATCAGGCCATCCGAACAGTAGACAATCGGGTGGTCACGAACTTGAGCGTTACCAAGAACAAAGTTGCTGTCTGAAATTAATCATCAAGGAAAAGTGGCTTAAGTGGGTTCGACAGTGAAGCAGTTGGCAATTCCCACGTAATATATGCAGATGAGATCTGGTCTTTGCAACAGTGGACAGTCTTTACCAGTAGGGGGCATCTGCTTTGAGTACAAAGTTTTCAAAAACATCGACTGATCGTCTTTGATGATATGACCCTGATGACCTCACCACTGCTTAGCCATGGTATGAAGGTTTTCCCCGGCGGCTTTTCTTTCCATTGTATGTTACCGGTTGTTGTGAGGGAAGTACTGAGCCTCTGCGCAAATAATTTAAGCCATTGAAACGCACTCACGCGGTGGATGTTTTGAAATGTTTCTTTATCGGCTCTCTTGTCAGAAGAAACCGTTGCGCTACTCAGCATGACTCTAGGGGACAATGTTGTAGTAATCCATCTCTCTCTCAACGGCTGCCTAACTGTTTAGTTGACTTTAGTTCGCCAACTTTTGTTAACTTTGCATGTACGTTTCTTATTGCAAGAACATGATACATCGTTGCCAAAACTTACGGCAAAATCAGTGTTCAAAAACGTAAGATTGCAGTCGCCGAGAGAAACATGTTGTTCGTTCATATTGCTAACCTAAAAGCATGTGTCCCCCCTGCAGTAAATCACATTTGAGTAATCAGATAAGACAGCTCGAAGTAAATACAACGACTTCACGGGACTGCAAATCCCTGTGCCATTAAAATGCACGTCCGTGGAAAAGATTTTGGCAGTCGTTGCATTAACTCCGGAAGCGAATTTCCCAAACTTGAGCTCCGTTTCGTTGCTGTACACTTACGTGGTGTAAAAAATACGCAAGACAGTTTTGAAATAGAGAAGGTAAAATGGTTCCAAAGGACCTCAGAGCCATCATGGTTACTCACTGTCACTACATATAACCGCAACAATTTTGCTAAGGTTTAATTTATTCATTTATCCAAAGTAGAAGCACCAAAAATCTACCCATGTGGACAAAAAGTGGCTCACTTTTCCAAGTAAAATATGTCCCGTTTTCTCGAAAAATGTCTTTAGAGACAACATTGATCCTCGAGTCAAATGGCGAAACAAAGACCCTTGATTTTTTAACTTTATCGGCCTCATGCCAATCTGTAATGACGGGTTTATGAAAAACTGTCAAACTCGAAGTTTGTCACAAATCGGAATCGTTCTTTAAGGCAGGCATTGGAGGCCACGAGTTTCTGGAATTTCCGAGTATTACTATTTCATATTTCTCAGCGCTACAGCTTCGGTGCTTTATATCCCAGCATTTTGCATATTTAATTATCACTGGACATAGAACCAGTCAAGAGGAACTTCCACCGAATTTATTGTACCCGTCCTTGTATGACGTTTAAGTCTACGGATGTTAGAATGATTCGGTTTTCCTACAACTCTGCACGTGGGGTTTATGCTGTAAGCTGTACTTCTTTTGCTAGTACTGCTAAAAATATGTTAGTGCTGTACGACCAGGCATCTTAAAGCAAAGGCTGTTTGTGAAATATATATTTGAGGGAGGTGAGGATACTTTGAAATTTTTGCACTCTTTGGCTTTTTATCGTAGAACGGCTTTACTTACACAACGAAACCTGCATCAAATCCGTTTCTCCTAAACGATATCAGTCTAAGCGTAAGTGGTTTCCTTGATCACGGGCTGGCGCAGAAAAGATGCGAGCGAAAATCTAAATCACTGTTTGGCCATTACACAAGCATTTATTTCTCACAACTATTGTGCGTCTTCAAGAACAAACCTTTTTCCACTAAATGAGATGCAGAATAATCTAATGAAAAGATATAAACAGATCGAAACAAAACACAAACAAACATTATCAACGTCCATGAGACTCTTAAGTCACCTGAATCCGAGATAAACGGACGATGCCACGTGCCTCATAGATTGAGGATTAAGAGCCTCATAGGAAAGGGGAAAATTGGGCTAGCAAATGGTAGGTAGTTAGGATTTTATTTTTCAGAAGCCCGAAATGATTTTTTCCAACAGAATCATTTGTCTCGACGAATGAATGCGTTTTCTTGTTCCGTGTTTGTGTTTTGTCTCCGATTGCAAGCAAAAACCTCTTACGCGGCTCACACACCTCTTTCTCAAACGCGAAGAATCCTAGACTGCTTTCAGTCATCCGTCTACAGAAATCCCAATACGTTTAGCTTTGACGTTGACTTAGGAAGCCTAAAAGATAAGGAAGGCACAGTGAAATGCCAACACCACGCTCATTCCAAGATCTTGAAAAGTCCGCTGAATTTGCTCAGGAATTGCTCTCTGAGTCAGTAGGAAGTCAGTAAATATTATATGAGCTTGTCCATCCTACTCAGACAAAAATCTGCTTAACTTGAGGCTTTCGGGTGGATGTAGCATTCTTCCAGCTAATGCTTGCAACAAAAAATATTTCGACTCAGTTGTGTGACCTATCATACCAGACCTGAATTCTGAAAAATAACGATCTACTAGAAGCCCATACTGTCTCAAATGAACTGGCTTTACGAACACAACCACAATTGAATAAAGTTTTTAAATGTCAACTCACATCCATTCAAAACGAATGAGACTTTTCATAATTACTGCCGGAATGCAGATGTCACGAGAGTTGCACTTTTTCCAATGTTTTTCTTTCCGATGTGTACCGATGTTGGCCATGGTTCTATCGAATAATCAGACAGCCGTCTTATATAGTGCACGATAATACTCTGAAATGAAGCTTAGAGCTTTTGCAACTGATTTCACTTGAAAAAGTTTTAATCAAACCGTTTCAACGTATGAAAATCTCACTCAACATAACGTCCTTCTGAAACGATCACACTTCTATCACGGCTTTTGTATGTCAGACCAAAATAACGACGGAGACATTACACAGTGCTATTTTCATCTCATGTGCAGCATGGCTTCAGGGAAGTGTGACTATGGCCAGTAGACTGAATTATTTTTATAATTTCTTCCGTGTGACTGATGATCTGAATGTGAGCCGATTTTCATGACCACTCAGGAAGATAAACAAGCATTGCCTTCACCAACTTTGGCATCGGAAATCAGGGAGAGGCGGAACGAGTTCTGTTCCACGGGTTAGCTTTGGGTAGGGTTTTGGTGATTCCGATGGCCATAATTCTTAGCCTGCTATAGTAAAGAATCAATAAACCCATCCAGGTCCACTATCCCGATAGAAACTTTTGGACATCAGTATACGTATAATTGCTGTGTACTTTCCGGAATATTACAAAGTGGTAAGGTATTTCTGTCAGGAAGCTCAATGGTTTTCAGATACTTTTCATTAAAAGCTGTTTGCTGTGATGCATTGTATTGTGAAGTGGAATGGCCATTGCGAAAACCCCACCCTCACACACGAGGGAAACGTGTAGGAAACACCGACTCACAAAATGTACAGTGATGCAATAGGCACCATATTCAAATTTAGTTGGCGGCCGTGTACTGTCCGATGGTCACTGATTTTGAATAAGTCAGATGTTTTCTTCATCAGAAAGCTTAAATTCACTTATGCAAGGTCTGATGCTCAGTGATCGGTTACAATGCATTTGTTAACGAACGAAATATATAGCTGGGATAAACTAAACGTATTTTCTTGCGGTTCACCCACTTCACCTTACCCTTAATCAGCTACGGAAATTCATTACTGGAAGTGCAAAGGGATTTGAGAATTTCCAATATAGATGCTTTTTGGTGATCCTCTCACTGACGCTGTTCCGCTTTTATTTCGGTTGCGTCCCAGAAAAGCATTTCAAAATGATATTACAGGCTATAGACCCGGTATTGCAAATCCTCAGCTATCGCCGTAAGCAACACCGCACTAAAGATTCAGATGGTCGCACGCAGAATCGCTCATGTGCATAGATAGATATGAGCGTGCTTCTTGGATTTTCAGAATGTGAGAATCAGATTGCATACTACCTATTCTGAGCGGATTATCCCCCATCTGAGTGAAAGTGGTCACAAGTCTTTTCTCTTTTCAACCATTTGCCGACGTCTGAATTATTGTCAACCGATGACAACAAATCTCTAATCAACGATAGCTGATGCTCATAGGGGCTGACTTGGTTTAACTGTGTTAAAAAATGTTCTTTGTACACCGCGCTCCAACCAGTAAACAAATTAAAAAGTAAGAGTAGGTGTCAACCTTATCAACGTGCTGCGGTAAGACTGCAGGAACGATGTCCGTCGTTGGCGGACCGTTCTCAAATTCCGCATTTGTGGGTTTGTTAAAGCAGACACTAGAGCTGAGTCTACGACGAATGCTTCTATCCAGTCACTGAGCTTCTCAAGAAATCTACCATCTGCATAGATCAGGTTAGCATCCGACTTCAAACGGTTGAGGTGACCGTTTTGTTTCTGTTTATACAATGTAGGATGATGACGCCACAAAGCGGAGGACATATCAGACAAAACGCGAAAAATGTATGTGGTCACATCGAGCAACAGCAGGTCTCCGGTGTACAATCAGTCACAGTCAGGTGAAGTGTTCCCGGGAAGGTGGACTTATGTGCCTCCTGAAGTAGGTGTATGAGAAGGTTAGACAATACGGGCAATATGGAAATCCTTCATTCCCGCTGACTGCTTTTGTGTTGGAAATTTTCGATCGACTCGGGAAAAGGTGACGCCCAGTGTAGCTTTTCGACACATCGGAAAATAAATTATGTATCCCTGAAGGTGAATAATCCAATCGATGTGCGATGTCATTCTGGTGTACATCCAATAGAATCACTTAACAATGTCCATTACCTTATACCCACAGATCTGCATAAAGGTGAGCAAGATACTGATCCAGTGGTCGGATGATCTACTGTTGACTCTAGAACGTGCAGTTTATAGTGTGGTCCAGCGAACATTCGATTCATTTACATGTTCTGTCTTGGCTATTCGCCTAGTGAACATCTCTAAACAATGACTGGTGCATAAGTACTATTGAATCGCTTTGGCGTAACGCAGTTTGGGGTGTGTGGCTGTAATGTCGTGTGTTGATTTTCCGTCT